TATGTATATATATATATATATATTAATATACATTTTCAAACACAATATTAACCATGTTAGGTCTATCATCATGTCCCTTGCTCAAAATCTTTTGTGTGTAATATTACAAGAGATATGTTAATGTGGATAGAATATTAACATACATGCATACATAATTTGATAAGATTTTTTTTATTATTATTATAATATATGATCAACCAATCTAGAATGTGATTTAATATTTAAGAAATTTGATCAAGTAATGAGTCTGACCGGATTTTGGTGGAACAAAAGGTTTGAACTGGATATTGAAACGTGAAAGATGGTGTAGAATGACCCCAATGAGATTAAACAATTGCCTTGCAATTTTAATCAATTTCTTCTTATCTCCATAGCTGTACTGGTTGAATATCAATATAACAAGAACACCATTCACTTCAATCATGCCTGGGTCATTTTCAAGAGCTTCTGTCATACAGAAATTCTTTCTGTATTAATTCTTTTCTTCCTGCATAATAATTTTGGTACAGATAAGACAAAGCTATTGTAGGATTGGTTACTTAGAATTGATTTGCGCTTTCTTCTTAGCCACATAAAGACAGGATTGGTTTGCTCAGAAGCACACAATCTTATGCTTAGTAAATTGGGAAATTTATTAACATTTTGAGACTAACAGGATCAATGATTAGACATAGAAAGGTTGTGGAAAATTAGACAAGAAGAGCAAGAGCTTCGTGAAGGCTGCAGGATGTGGAACGTGCAAGTGAACTAGTTTGCCCTAGTTGTTGGGGATAGCGAACATTAGCATCCCATTGCAAGCCATCCAAGCCATGCCCTGCGTTTCTTTTTGTGCCTTCTGTCTTTTTGGGAAGTTTTTGAAATTCTTACACATGCTTCTGCAGTGCAAGTGATATCCTGCAGAATTTCCAAAATATGTTCATGCTACTAGAAATACGTCAAGAATATTAGATAGGCCATCTAGCATACTATTCCAAGAAAGGAACTCTTAAGACATACTTGATCTGTAAGAGAATCTTGCTTCTCTTGGTGGGTGATGATCATTTGCTCATCCTCCTTAGTGATCATGGTTGAAACCTCATCACGGCCCCTTTTTTCAGATCCTTGAAAGGTGGAAGAGCTTGACCTCAATGTGTTTTCTACATCCACCTCTAGGCTTAACTGATGAATTGAAGATAAGAGAAGATTAAGCAGGTAATAAGAGTTCAATCACCACAAAGTCTTTACAGCGACATTTTGGGGACGTGAGATTTGAAGGGTTAGCGAATCTTCAAAGAAAGGGCTCTTGGAAATTCCCACGTAAAATCCAACTATCAGCATTGCAGATCAATACAGATATCTGAAAAAAAAATAATTCAAAGATATATAAAATGATGTTTAGAAACCTGTAATACTCGGTTTTCGAGCATTTCTAGTCTATCCATCAGGGTGCCTTTGTGTTGAACTTCCTCAAGTGCAGATGATAAATTCTTGCACTGATCTTCTGCTTCCACTGTCCTGACTACAGACTTGGCTATATGCCTTCCTGACAAGGAATGCTTCTCTTCCAGAAACTGCAGCTGCATATATTCACCAAGAGAAGTAAAACGTCCAAATCCAAACATGAATCAAAATGAAGCAATGAATTAGAGGTCCTAAGCATATATTAGTACAATTGAAATGCATTACCAAACGATCAAGGCGATCCAATCTTGGTAGAACAGGCAAAGGAGGAGAGAATTCCTGCTTTTCTTCCTGCCCCATGATTGTCAAACAATGATCAGATCCTTCTCAAGTTTGCAGTTCAGAATGCTCCTTTTGCAACCTTTCAAACTATCATATAGATATGCTGCATCTATGGTGGCTGGAAAGAAATGCTACCTTTCAGACTATAGCATTTATACAAGTAGTTTGTTTTTTTGGAGGGGCTTTAAATGATGACCACCTTGTCATACCCTATTGTCCTTATTCAGGTAATCATCTACACCAGATATTTTATTTTTATCCCATCATGCATGCCTTGTCTAGTTTATCTTCACTTCTTTTATTTCCCAAAATCTTTATCATCTTGGATATGGAGGCGTCTGTTAACAAACTTGTCAAAGGTATGGCTCATTGACTTGAGATGAGGCCCAGAAGTCCCAATCAAGAACGGTGCCATTAAGTGTATTGATTTGCCTCAACCACTCCTGATAAAAGTAATGTACTTCTGCAAATTTGCAATCATCCAAGTCGTGCAAGTCTCAATCTATGAACTGATTAGATTGATCATGCTCCACACTCATAGCACAAGTATATTGGTACTTCTAGGCCATCTTGCGCTTTATCAAGACATCGATTGCTCCACGTACGAGTGACTTAATCTACTTCATTAAGCTCTGCAAATCAATCGGACGGTCCATTTAGCTATAAGTGTCGATGACAGAACAACTGTCAAACTCTGTCCCTTTTTTTGTACAGTGGAGCCCAACTAGGAATGCTTTTTTGGAATCATCAACGAGAAAGACAAGCAATTCGAGCATAAAAAAGCTGTCTGAAATGTAAAATGTCAAACAAGTTGACTGCTTTTGCACATTTCGCATGCTCATGTCACATTCTAGTTAACTACTATCATTTACATATTGGATGACGCCTAAACATTGGTTAGAACAAATTTGACATATTTTGATGGGTTGATGTAGTTCCCTTGCTTGCAGTATGCAACTCATTGCTACAATCAGAGCCCAGTTTGGGAAATGCGTTTTTTTTAAAATGGAGAGGAAGTGTGGCATAGGAGATTCTGGAGGGAGGTGCCATCAAGGGATATTGACGCAGGCGGTGATTTAAAATTTGCCAATTTTAAATTGCAATGATTAAACTTTGTAGCTTGGTTATTATAGACCAATGAAAATAAAATAAAAAAATCTAAAAAAAATTATAATTTTCAACTCAATTATTGGATTATGTTCAAATTTAATCTAGAGATTCTAAATATCTAACTTTATAGAAGGGTTATCTCATTATAGTTAGTCTAAACTTGAAAGTCCTTCAAATTAGCTCCAAAAAATGTTATTCAGACAAGTTTTGTTGTTTTTCGTTTTTTTTTTTGAATTTTCTTGTTTGTTTAATATTTTGATTGCCTTTTAATTTATTTAATTTCCTACCTTATTTATTTCCCAAAATTTTTGTTTAATTTTCTTGTTTATTTATTTAAGGAGTTTTAAAACTTTTTAGAAAAATGGACTATTTAAAGAGAATACTCAATAATAAAATTTCAAGTTCGAATTTTTATGTGACAATCTATTCAATAAAATTATGTATTGCTTGTACTTTTTGTATTTCTTTTATTGTTAATTTTCCGTATTGAGTTAAATATTCATCTTCTGACATTTATGCATTAGTATACCAGTATCTTCAAACAATATTAGCATCTAGTATTAAGCAAACAAGATTCAGCAAGAAACAACAGCTTTGGCTTTATATGAAAAACCTAACCCCCCGCCTTTTGCAGCTTCTCTTTCAGTAATGATGGAAATAATCTAAAGTCATCAACTATGATCCTTATCGAAAGGCTTGAGCAACCCAAAAGTAATTGCCATGGCAATCCAACCTCCAAGTAGGATTCTTACCGCCGATATCCTAATTGGTGAACCACCAAGATAAGCTCCGAAGCCTCCAAACAAAGCCAGAGCTATTGATGCAACCACATCAATCACCACATTCCTAACAACATTTTGGGCCACAAGCACGGCAGGCAGCTAAGGCACCCGATGCAACGGCAGCGTTGTATAGGTTTGTTAGCACCTCATCTCCGTCATCCTCCCGCAATATTTCAGGATTTCTCTTTCCATCTTCTTGGATTACCTTCATCACAGGAGACTTTCCGGGAGACATACCTGGGGGCAACTTTGGCTCGAGGATCATACTTCGTGACGTTCTCTGTGTTGGCTCAGAGATGACCTTGAAGTCATCCAGCTTTGCTTCTCCTTTCATGCTTGCTGTAGTTGCGGTGCCATCGAGTCCGATTCCAGGAGCATCTTTCCCGTAATTTTTCGAACTGAAATGGCTAACAGTTTCCTTTTCGATATCTTTTTGGGTTGAGACAGAAACAAACTCCCCACCAGCCATGCTACATGCACCTGCAACAGCTCCAGCCAGTCCAGATAATACCATTGAAAATCAGAAAGGAAAACTTACTTGTGAGAATTTTTATTTTTATTCTTAGATCAATTACTTTAGTGCCACTTTAATTACTAGAACCAAAATGATATTTCACGGAATAAACATATTTGTAAATCTTGTCAAGTCAATGCAGAGAATCAAAATGGAAGAAGAGAAAGAGAGAACTTTGTTCTTTCAATAATGAAAACTTATATTCCATATGGTTATGTGCCTTTATATATGATTACAGAATGTGGTTACTTTCCTTAGTAACTTCTCTAACAAATTAGATCAGGTTCATCCATCATGGGCGGACCAGGCCTAGCCCAATAACCAGCATCTCTCACTCGCCCATGAAGGACTGAATCTCTCTAATACATTATACTTCAAACTTGCACAAGAATTTTATACTTGACGAACGGACCGTGCGACCTGAAGTACACAGTGAAAGGAGCTCTAATATATAAACCTAATACATTTCATATAGGAGACATCAACCTCATAATTAATTATTCCTTGAAGTGTACTAATATACCCCAAGCATTTTTAGTTACACATGACTGAATATAATTCAATCCCTCAAGAATTTTCATACTCAATCCATCCTTACAATTACAAGTATTCTAAATCATATTAAATCTATTCAATTGATATGATTCCGGCCGGTGAATACAAGTAACAGGTGTAAAACTAAAATTACTTTTTTTTTCGCTCTCATATCAATCAAATCTGAATTAACTCGCTTTCCTAAGAGTATTCCTTTAAGTTGAATCATTCCATGACTATAGGATATACTTCTAAAGTAGCGATCATTAATACATCACCTCATGATATAGTCAAAAGTCACAAAAGGTAAGATTTTTTATTTTTTTTTAGATCTTAGATATGATCTTCAGGACTCACATAATAAAGAATCAGGGATCCATTCTTTTATTCCTGTAATGGTCGCGAGCACATGTAGTATGAAATACATGCTATAGTGGAGCTTACTCTTTTTTTTTCTTAAGACAAAGAGTGTATGTCATTGCTCTTCTTGTTAGAGAAAATACATTATACGAGTCTTAGTCTTGTTGCTAAAAACATATTCAAATCAGAAATTCTTATTTGCTCATTTTTTATTAGTGGCAAATGAATAATTTCATACTCGGCTTCAATAATAATAGACACATGAATGACGGGAATTCATTCATGCCGATTCTTTTATTTAAGAACCTCATCTTGGTCCCAGCCAATGTGACTTCTTAATAATCATTTTGAGTTAAAATTGCTCCCACTGTGCCCAAGTCGCTTCTTAACCATTAAAACTCAAATAGTCTCATCTCTACTCACATTACAAGTGCTAGAGGTGATTGCTCATATGAGTGAGCCAATCTAAGTCTATCGACATACTATAACAAATTATATTATACGATACTCATAATATATTCATGAAACAAATAATAAATAAAATGATATTCTAAAGGTATTTATTCATTACTCAATCACTGTAAGCTTTTATATGATCCTTAAAACTAATTACATTCTACATAGGCCAAGGGATCTCACATGTCTAACAAATGCATCCCTTACTATTGGTTTTGTGAGTGGATCTGCAACTATAGAATTTGTAGAAATGTGTTTTAGGATCACATCTTGTTCAATAATTGCTTTTCTAAGGTAGTGATATCTCATCTTGATGTGTTTGGTCTTTCCATGGTATTTTTGATATTTAGCTACAACTATTGCAGTAGTGTTATCACAGTAAATTGTCACTGGGTCTGATGCTGATTTGATAATTTTCAAATGATACATGAAATTTTTTGACAAAACAGCATCTTGTGTTGCTGCGGAACAAGCTACATACTCAGCCTCCATGGTAGATAAGGTTATGCAGGATTGTTTCTTGCTCCTCCATAGTATTGCACTATCATTAAGCAAGAAAGCACATCCTGAAGTTGATTTGGATTGGTCAACATCTCCTCCCCAATCAGCATCAGAGAAACCAATCAATCGCAAATCTTTCTTTCCTTTGTAACATAGCATGTAATTTAAAGTTCCTTTCAAATATCATAGAATTCTTTTGACTGTCATCCAGTGTTTCTGACCAGGATTTGATTGATATCTGTTGACCAATCAACGGTATAACATATATCGAGACATGTGCACATCATTGCATACATCAAACTACCGACAGCACTGGCATAAGGTACTCTGGACATTTTCTCCTTTTCTTCTAGAGTCTTGGGACACATATCACAGCTTAAGCTCAAACTTTTGTCAACAGGGGTGCCCATTGGTTTACTATCTTGCATGTGATAGTGCTCTAACATCTTTTTGATGCAAGTCTCTTGAGTTAAACCCAAAAGTCTTTTAACGCGATCTCTTATAATTTTCACACCAAGTACATAGCTGGCCTCACCCATGTCTTTCATTTCAAAGTTTGATGATAACCACTTTTAGTAGTATCAATCATCTCTTTGTTATTTCCAGCTATTAAGATGTCGTCAACATATAAGGACAATATTATAAAAATATTGTTAGAACATTTTAAATACACACAATGATTTTCTTTCATCATTGTAAAACCATCCTTAAGGATAACTTGATGAAACTTAATATTCCATTGTCTAGAGGCTTGTTTAAGACCATATATGGATCTTTTAAGCTTGCAAACTTTACGCTCTTGACCTTTAGTCTCGAATCCTAAAGGTTGATCCATATAGATCTCCTCATTTAGTTCTCCATTGAGAAACGTAATTCTAACGTCCATTTGATATAACTCTAGGTCCATATGTGCGACTATAGCTAAAATGAGGCGAACTAAATTAATCCTCACAACTGGTAAGAATGTATCTTCATAATCAATTCCCTTTTCTTGTGTGTAGCCTTTCGCTACCAGTCGAGCTTTATAACAATCTATTGACCCGTCTGCCTTACGTTTAATTTTAAGAACCCATTTATTTCCAATGGATCTTCGTCTTGACGGTAAATCAACCAAGTCCCAAACTTGATTAATTTTCATTGACTCCATTTCTTCTTCCATGGCTTTCATCCATTCACTTGCTTTAGAACCAGATAGAGCATGACTGAATGTTTTAGGTTCTTCATCATCTTGTGGAGCAATCATGAACGCTTCCCCCTCAATCTCAAATCGACGATGAGGAATTAGTTTATGAATGCTTCTTCGAGGTTGAGATTGCTCATGATCTTGCTCCATGAGAGTAGGAATAGATAAAATATCACTCCCACTATTTTCAGGAGGATTAAAAGTTTCATATAAGTCTTCTACTGAATGGCTTGTTGTGCCATAATCTAGATTTTCCAATTCATATAATTGAAAATCTTTTTCAACCTCACCTGTTTTTGGAAAAACCTTTTCTAAGAATACAACATCACGTGATTCAATCTCTATCACTCTTCCATCAGCTTTTTCACCAATAAATACAAATCCTTTGGAATATTCAGAATATCATATAAAGATACACTTCTTCCCTCTAGGATCAAGTTTCTCATATTTATGAGAAGTATTGTGAATATAAGCTGCACACCCTCATGGATGGAAATAACCTAGATTAGGTTTAACATCATTCCATAGTTCATATGGGATGGATGAGACAGATTTAGAGGGCACACGATTAAGTATGTAAGCAGCAGTTAACAATGCATCTCCCCAAAAGAAAATTGATAAGTTAGTTTGCGCCATCATCGACCTAACCATGTCAAATAGGGTTCTATTCCTCCTTTCTGCTACACCATTTTGTTGTGGAGTATAAGGAATAGTTAGTTGTCTAGCTATACCCTTTTCATCACAAAAGTTTTTAAATTGTTTAGATAGATATTCATGTCCTCGATCAGTTCTTAAAGCTTTGATCTTGGCACTTAGTCTATTCTCATCCAAATCGGTGTATCGAATGAAGCAATCCAATGCTTCAGACTTATGTGAGATCAAATAAACATGACCAAACTGTGTGAAATCATCTATAAATGTGATGAAATAATTTCCTCCATGTCTTGCTCTCACATTCATTGGACCATAAATGTCTTAATGAATAAGCTGTAATGGACTACTAGCTCTTTTAGCTTTGCCAAATGGTAATCTAGTTGCTTTTTCAGCAAGGCAATGCTCACAAACGGGCAATTCCTCTTTGGAAAGTGATCCTAAAAGACCAGCTCTTGCTAATCTATGCAATCGATCTTGCCCAATGTGTCCTAATCTAGCATGCCAAGTTATGATATTACTATCATTAATAGTACTATAATTTTGAACAACATAAATTGAAGCATCATAATTAATAGATACATTAACGGTGTCTAACACCATAAAACCATTTAATGCAAAACCAGAACCATAAAAAATATTATCCAGATGTATTGTTACACAATAACCAACAAACGCAATTTTAAAGCCCAATTGGAGTAAAGTAAGAACAGATACAAGATTTTGTCGAACTTCTAGAGCGTAGAGCACATCATGAAGATAAAGTGTGCGACCACCCCGTAAATCCAATTTGCAGGTATCGATCCCAAGCATAACAGCGAAAGCATTATTATCCATGTATATATGTATCTACCCTTTGGAATTCGACGGAATTCCACAAAAGTTGTTCGATCCCTTGCTATGTGGTCAGTTACTCCTGAGTCTATGGTCCAAAAGGGAACAGATTCAGCAAGCATTAAACAACTACTAACGTATAAGTTAGAGGGATGATTGTGGTTAAACATTACCTTTGACTCAGTGCAATTACGAGCAAAGTGACCAGGTTTACCACAATTGAAACAATTCATATTCTTGTCTTTCTTACCGCTGCGTTTTCCATGCTTGCGTTTATGTCCACTACTACTTGCTTCTATTCCTCTCTTGTCATATTTGGGACCTTTAGCCTTACCCTTTTTATATTTAGAGCCATATGTTCCACACATCTTTGTCTCAGATATAAAAGCCTCATTTATAGGCTTTTCAACGTGAAGTCGATCTTCTTCAAGCTCGATATGACGAGCAATATCATTAAATGTCTTGATGTTGTCTTTATGGGTAAGGTTAACACGCATGTGTTCCCAATTACTTGGCAAAGAACGGATAATTGCTTGGACTTGTTGTTCATCAGTCATCTCATGCCCAACACTCCTTAATTCACTAATCATGTTAGATATGACTGTAAGATGCTGCCTCATCATTTGATTTTGGCGCTTCTTATAACCATCGAATTTGAGGGTTAACTGACGAAGTCTAGTAGTGGAGGTTCCTCCATACTGAATCTTTACTGCGTCGCAAACAAATTAAGCTGAACGATGCCTTTCAAAACGTAGCATTATATCATTTCTCATGCTGCTCAACATCAAAATACGAGCTACACGATCCTTGCTTTTATAGGTTTGATATGCTTCCATACCAAGCCTGTGTTGAGCAGTGTTTCCTTGCTCAGGTTCAACCATTGGTTGTGTGATTGTTTCCAACATTTCTTGCTCTTCCAAGAGATACTCAATTTTACTATGCCAAACATCGTAATTCTTTTCACTTAGTTTGTCTCCATGGTTCAAATCAGCAATAATACTCTTAGATACAACCATATTAAGCTTTATTGACAAGAATTACAAATATTAGTATTTAGTACAATTTAATTGACATATTTTGCCACTTCATTCCAAATTAAACAAATAATAATCTAACACATATAATAGAAATGAAAATAATGTTAAACACTTAATCAATTTCTATTTGTATGGTCTAATTATTATTAGAAATTTAAACGAGCGTAAAATTATAGTTATTAGTTTCAACTAACAACTCTCATTAATCAGGTTGCAGATATTATCATATATATGTATATAATGTAATTAAACTTAAATTACATAAATATTCAGTTCATTATTGAACAACCAATCATCTTTAAAAAAAAATACAATATTAAGAATAATAAATTTTAGAATTATTTTATATTTTAGGCATATAAGTAGGGTATCTAATTACGTCATCTACTTCATCAAAGTCATCTCCTCCAAGTTCATTCTGCTCAAATCATGGAATGAATTTAGCAGTAGCATCCAAACGACTTGCGCTTCTTCCAGTGCATCGTATACCCTTTTTGGCATATTGACGTTCCCTCTCAAGCAGCATTTCATCTGCGAAATTGTTGAAATCTAAGGATTCCAGTCTATATTTCAACAATAGTCGCACCGACATCCATTCCTCAAGTAGAGAATTAAGAACAATTAACATTTGATGTTCCATGTAGAATTCATAAACACCACTCATAGCCAGTCTAATCATCCAATGATACATGTAATCAATGTGCTCTCGAATGTTGTGAACAGGATTAAAGGCATAACCCAATAAATGATCAATTTGTTGTTGCCTATCCACTACAATAAAATATTCCAAAAGCACATAAATATTATACTTAATATTTAATTAAAGCATGTATCATCATATATGTTAAAAACAATATGGAAATTAAACAATTTATTTTAATAGTAAATAAATTGCTCTATAATTTGAAAATTTATATTAACAAAAAAAATATTGTCTTAATTTTATTCTTAATATTAATATATATTAATAATTATTAATATATACTAATTTGATACATATCTTTGATAAGATGTGTCAAAGATGTGTGCATATATATTAACTGCCACACGGTAGTTAATATTTAATATACACACACATCTTTCAAAAGATGTGTTCATTCGAGTTTTTTTGTAATAACAGTTAATTAATTACTGTAATTGCAAGTAATTAAAAAAAAATGAAAATGATAATTTTTAATTTCCATTTCCATTTCCATCATCAATTCACACATGAATTGATAATAAAATTAATTATAGAAAAAATAAATTTATAACTAAATTACTTCATAAAATTTTGTAAATTCAAAATTTTCAATGAAAGTAATTTTTTTTAACACAAAATTTACATCTATTGTTCATATAATAATAAATATACTGCATAAAAGCAATATTAATAAATATGGCTTTGGTAACAAATGTGAACGCAAAGGAAAACTTACTTGTGAGAATTCGATTTCTTATTCTTGGATCAAGTACTTCAGTGCCACTTCAATTACTAGAACCAAAATAATATTCCACAGTATGAACGTATTTGTAAATCTTATCAAGTCAATGCAGAGAATCAAGATGGAAGAAGAGAAAGAGGGAATTTTGTTCTTTCAATAATGAAAACTTATATTCTATATGATTATATCTTTTTATATATGATTAGAAAAGATGGTTATTTTTTTTAATAATTTCTCTAATAAATTAAATCAGACTCATTCATCATGAACGGATCAAACCTAGCCCAATAACCACCAACCATGGACCGTCCATCTTCCTTCGCTGCACCTACGCCAAGCATTAGTGATGTAGTAGAAGGCAGACTATCATTAGCTCCTAGAATAGCTGCTCGGAGCCATTGAGCTCGTCGCAATCTCTGGACTTTTCGAGCATCTTCATCAGCTACTGAAATCGTATGTTCAGCACAAGTTCCTGATATTTGATGTAAAGCCATGTGGAAGAGAGTAGGGCTTTTAGCTTAGGGACGGAAGTTTGGAAGGAGTGTAGCTACCTAGGTTGAGACATACAACAGGCACGTGGAGTAGATAAATACATGCAGGTAGGCAAGTGAAGGAACTGAGAATTTCGCTCCGGCAAAATTGGGTTTCTTTATAAAAAGACAAGACAATACTTAGGTGGTACCGTGAAAGATTGCTCATGGGGCCAACAGAAACGTTGAAGTCTATGACATTTTCACCTTTTATGCATTGGATCAGAAGGGCATCATTTTATATTTAAGCACTTTTCAGCAATGTGAAAGGTAACTTGCAAGGCAACTCTTTCATATTTAAGGACTTGATACTCAGCAATTTAGCTCCATCCCAAGCATGTATGTCATGTTCAAGCATCAGATGCCATTTCACAAGGAGTTGCTCAAAAGCACCAGTCAGGGTAATTGGCTTACCATAAAAATCATATAAAGCCTTCCGTGTATGGTTGAAGCAACACATGAAACATCTCTGTCATGCTCCAGACAATTCAACAGTGTCCAAAATAATCTGCAAGGGTAGCTTTCATCTGATATTACTTGAAGGGAAAATTATTGGAAGATTCAATCATTCAATAAATGAAGGTAGTGTGATAGGTCATGACCTCAAACCTTCCACTTATGCATCAGTATATCCTGTCAGGATATTTCTATGACAAACAAAAATCATAAAATGTTTTGAGTACAAGGACTATGGTATACTTGTTACCTCAGCTAGCTTGGATATTCACAAGTGTGTACATAACTATAAACTAAAAATTTCACAGATGGAGTATCACAAAGTAAAATTAGGATACTTATCTTATAGAAGCAAAATTGAATTGAAAGGCCAAGAGTTAAGAAAAATGAAAGAGGTACTCGTGTTTATAGAAGATTAACACTATATTTAACTCATTGCTGCAAGTGTGACTTTAGAGATAGCCATCCCTCTTGTCTTGCTCATCAGCTTCCTTGTTAGCGGCTTGAACAGGCTTGAACAGACTTGAACCACAAAAATGCCTGTAGACAAAGGTCATGTTAAGCTAAACAATGGGACTAGACAACTTCATCACCCACATGAGATATTAGTAATTCATAATAAATTTCAAAATGAACTTTCGAAGTTTACCAATAAATGGATAATCAAGTCACAAGATTTTCTTCTCATCCATGCCCATAGCTATAAGATTATGCCAATATAAAAACTACCACAATGATGCTATCATCACATCATGTCAGGATCCACAGAATTTGAAGGATCACATTTTGAATCTTGATTGACATGCATTTCAGCTTAACACTGAGAAAGAGATGACCACTTACAGAAGTAGGAATGCCCGTAAATGCAAAGAATCCTAGCAATGGAGCGTACAGAATGCTGTCTGAGTTCACAATCCCGAAAACCGGCCTCTGATTCACATGCTCAAAAATGGAACCAATCTGGACACATTGGATTTTAATCAATAAAACTATCTACCTTATTAGTATATAAAGCTATAGAGGAGAAACAAAAAAAGTACAGGAAGTCAAGAACTCACAGCAGCAATTGCAGTAATTGCCGGGCCAAGTAAATAAACAAAAATGGGAACTTCAAAGTTCTGCTTTGATGAGTTCTCTTTGCCTTCACCCTTAGCCCATGGTGGGGGTTCATCAGAATCTGGTTTAGCCCAAGTGGGGATAGTTTCTTCAGATTTACTAGACTTTGCAGACCCTTCGGTTGCGGCACACACAAAAAACTTCCTTTGCTTTTGATAATCATTACAACACCCTCTGCTTCTCACTATTGTTTGATTCAAATTCAGTACCTCCTGTCTTGCAAAAAAATAGGAACATGAATCATGCATGCCTTATCAAGTCTGAACTGCACCAGCACAACAAGGTCGCAGAAGCCACAGTTTCCTTCTCTTCCCCCTTTCAAATTCCCCACACTTCTTTCAATTCTTCACTATATAGACCTAAAAGTATGGACAACATTGTAAAATCTTTATGCTAAGTTGCTAACTACAGCATGCAACTAGAACAATCTTGGTTTTCAGTACCAAAGACCCTGGTTCTTTCACTTTCTTGGCACCATCACTTCATGAATGATAAGTTAAGAACCGAAAGGAAAGTCCCATGAAAAAGAGAGAGAGCAGAAACTCTGCTAAACTTTGACATGCAATTGATTCATGTCAACTGCTTTAAAGCCAATTTTCAAGAATATTTCAGCATTCCTTCATTAGTAGCCACAGTAGATACAGCTAAGGATGATGATAACTGATGCAGACAACTCTAAATAGATTGAGAAAAAGAGAAGGAATACCTGTTGAGTTATGAGTTAGAACACAAGGTTGAAGAGAGTGAAGTGAAGCAGAGGACAAGCAGGGGTGCCGGTGCTTTTTAGCTTAGCCACACGCAACTCAAATGGTTTCTTCATTTCTTCAGCTTTTTTTTTTTTTTTCCTCCTTGGGTTCTTAGGAAGGTTTATTGAGCCTGGACACGTTGATGGGCTGGGCTTTTATATTCAGTTTTGTAACATATTATTCAAACTGAAATCCGAAATTTCAGGCGTCGTTCTTGGCGACACCGATACATCCACGATGTATCCGCAAGGAGTTTCAAATAGGGTGGTCCTGATACCGGAGACCCCACACTATCACCCGAAAACACGAGTGATCACGAGAGAGCCAATCCGGTGAGAGTTTCCTTAACTTTAAGTGTTTAAATTTCTGCTTTTATTTTTTTAAAAAAAAATAAAAATAATTAAGAAAAAAATAATTTTCCTTAAAAACCTCCTTCATAAATATTTTTTTATCTATTATGAATTACAATACTTCAAATAAAAAAAGTAATTTTAAGAGTAAAATTAAATTGTCTAAATTCTAAATTTATTTTTTAAAAATTATTAGTTTGAATTTCACAAACTTCAATATTATTAGAGACTTACATAATTATTAATTTTATAATTCATAAAATTAGTTAAAACATATCTAAACTAACCCAAATACTCATAATAATATAAAAAATAAAGAATTCATGTATTGTTTTTTTATTTTTAGTGGTGAGCTGGCCACTAAAAATAAATACAACAACAAAAATAAACGTTCACAATAATGTTTAGGTGGGCTAATTGAGTAATTTTTTAATATATACTTTTTTTTTTCCTTCTAAAATAAAAGTGGATATACAATATTTTCAAGGGAAATTTCTCTAAAAAATAATTATAAACTAAATTTTTTTAGCACTAATAGCTATTTTGATGGGCTCAAAAGCAAAACTCTTACCTCCATTATTATCTTAGATTCTTAGATTCGGATGAGAAAAATAAAAATAAAAATCTTTTTTCATAACAACATCAGTATTAAGTATAGATTATTTATATAAAACTGGGAAAGAGGAAAAACTAAATTGAAAAAAATGTTGACTATCAAGTCAAAGAAAGGCGTCAGCATTGAAAAATCCTAGCGTTCAAGATAATTAGCAAGTCATTTTCTACCATGCTTGTTGGAGTGATGCTTTGTCTCGTCTTTTATAAGCAAATACAACACTATCTTTTTATCTTCAAATTTGTGGAATGACAAGAAGAAATTGCCAATCCTGCGTGTAAAATTGTGGAATGACAAGAAGAAATTGCCAATCGATAGAGAATGTCCTGCGTGTAAAACGTTGTTTTTTTAAAATATTTTTATTTAAAAATATAATAAAAAACATATTTTTTTATTTTAAAAAAAATTATTCTTGAATAATATATTTTTTTAAAAAATATTTTTACTATCAAAATGATCTGAAAATATTTTAAAAAAATTAATTTAAAATAAAAAAATAACTTTTTTTCGAAATACTTTTATAAAACTGTGCATTTCATTTTCATTTGATTGATTGTCCACTTGTGTTTCTTGCGAACACTTGCACGTGGTCGGTGAGATCATTAATGGTAGCGAGGCCTCCCCATTCCCATGCCTTGATATCCAATGATAGTTGAGAGATTGGTTGCCTTCTAAAACATCATTAACTTGGGAGGTAAGGTAGTCAATGATTAATTACAAGTTTGGTTTCATCAAATCTTTTGCAAGT